CCTTTAACTCTTAAATTTGAATAATAAAAGATGCATGGAAAGAAAAATCTGTTATTTATTGAGCTGCCGGCCATTTAGGATTTCGTTGTTGCGTGGCCGGCAGTCGGTTCAAGTTCGCACAATGTCTCTAAGTGCAACGAATTTCGGTGCGACGTTTATGTAAGTTTTAACACACTCATTTTACCTCATTAGATCTAGTCTAAGGGTGCTTTCCATTTAGGTAAAAAGCGCCCTTGAGACATCTAAGCAAATGTCACTCGATGTATGGCAATAAGTTTGATATGCTTTAAGGACAGGGAGGTTGATAAAAAGATATTCGCAATAATATGTTTTTCTGAATTCTGATGCAATGACCCGTGCTTCCTCGCTTTTTAGATGCTCTACTTTCAATTCAGAAATCGAATTTTTAGGGGAAAAACTTCACATTTAATGGAGTACAATCCCGGGAGTACAATAAGCAAGAGAATAGATCATGTATCCTTATCAAGTCATCATAACAGACAATGCGTATTTACCATGTCTTTGTAAAACGTAGCATAATGGATTTGTCCTCGCCATTATCTTCACAAAAACATCTCCCTAAATGCCACTATTTATTTGTAGAAACGGCGCAGCTAGAGTACAAACACTAAAAACAAAATTGTAAAAACAAAAACAAAAACAAATTGTAAAAAAAACAACACGCGGTAAGAATATCTTGGACAAAATTTACACCTCAATGTCCATTTATTATGGTGATGCTACTATTCTTCCACCAATTGGCCGATCAGACCACTCATGTGTGTTTGTGRAACCCTCAAAACGGAATTATTCACATCAAGAACACTCCTACTCCATCAAAGGAATTAACAAGCCTGCAAACAAATGTGCACTCGTCAACGAATTGTCAATGGTCAATTGGACTCCTCTCTATCGCTTGGATTCTGTAAATGATCGGTTTGATCTCTTCACTCATACTCTATCATCTTCACTGGATAAAAACCTACCACTTCGGAGAACTAAGACACACCCTAAAGATAAGCCATGGTTGAACGATCACATAAAGGATGCTATTTCTAGAAGACAACGAGCGTAGACAACTGGTAACACCCTTACGTACAATATCTATCGTAACAAAGTTAACAAACTTTGCAAAACTGCTCGCAAGACATACTACGAGAACAACATCCTTAACACCCAAAATCACTACGCTAGCAAGTCAAAACCATCGCTGGCCTTWCAAAATCTGCGCCATTGACAAGTATTGTTCACGAAGGAGAATTCAAGAAAGGCACTGAACTAGCCGAAATTATTGCCTATCATTTTGCAAAGTCACTAACAGTTTACCACCTCTACAATTTGATAAAGTCCCCGTTGGAACTGTTCCCGACGAGTTTATCATCACAGGTGACCAAGTTGAGACCGAATTAGAAAAGATTTGTCTTCATAAAGCTACTGGTCCCTATGATATCCCTATAACTAAGACGTGCGCACCTATTCTAGCAAACCCAATTTGTTCCATTTTCAACGCAAGTATTCAAAAGGGAGTTATCCCTGGATTCTGGAAATGTGCCGATGTAATTCCTCTGCGTAAAGTACCTAAACCCAAATCAGCTGATTGTGACCTCCGAACCATCTCACTGACCCCTGTGTTGAGTAAGATCCTTGAACATTTTGTATCTCGCTGGCTCCTGCACTATATTAGTCCTTACATTGACTCCTTTTAATTTGGTAACACTAAAAATTGCTCTACAACACACGCCTTAATCCATCAGTTGCACAACTGGTTCAAAGCACTTGATAGCCCTCAAGGTATAACAATCAGATCTTGCATAATTGATTTTTCAAAGGCTTTTGACCGGATTGACCATAATATTCTCCTCTTGAAGTTGAAGATACTTGGTGTTCCACCGATCCTCCTCAATTGGTGTGCTGATTTTCTCAAAGAACGAAATCTAAGAGTCAAAAATCATCATGGCATCAACTATTCGCATCATCTTGGTCATGATTAACGACCTCGACTTAACTCTTCCGATGTATAAATACGTTGACGATTGTACTGTCTATGAGGTTATTTCAACGATCAGCTCCAGCCTCATCTCTTCAAACATCTATCGACCACATTACTAAATGGACTGAGTACAACAACATGTGCTTGAATGTAAAGAAGACTAAAGAACTACGTTTTTCCTTTCTTGGCATAACAATCTCGTCTGATTTAACCTGGAACGCTCACATTGACAATATCTGTGCAAAAGCTAGCAAACGTTTATATGCATTGAGGGTTATTAAACGCCCCACCAAAGACCACCAAAAAAGGACATTATCACTATTAAACATCATTATTTATTTAACATCTAAAACTTTGCAACATAAATACCATAAATACTGCTAAATTAGGCTAATTCTATTGTTTTCTATTGTTTAATGAACACTATTTTGTAGTAAATAGTGGAAAGTATTGCACAATGTTTGTACTCTATTATTATTATTATTATTATTATTATTTTTGCAAATTAAAAGCAAAAATGAATTAGGACCACAGTTTTAGTGGATATGAAAAAGTGGTTCAATTACAACTTCCATCATGCTTTTCTGTAAAGTGGATGACCACAGTCTTACTAAATTAATCAATATCGAAAATCCTCATATTGTCATCATTATTCACTTATTCTTGAACTTTTGAGAGAATTTACTATTTTATCAAATATTCATTTAAGGGTCGAACATGGGAAGTTTTTGGACTGCATGGTAGATGCCGAAAAAGTCTGCAGTACCGAAGATCAACTAATAGCTTTAAGAGAAATGTTTGAAAAGACCTACACTGAGGATCGTGTATGCATTAAAAGCTTTCTGTTCTTACCAGCCAACGAGACATATGCATTTCTTGGATATTCCTGCAAAATGGACCAGAGTGAAAAACTTCGGTTAAAGCAGAATGCTTGCTCCAAGAAGTTAGAAGAAATGTGGCAGACAAACAGAGCTGATAAAAGGATCTGTCGGTTCGTGAATACTTTATACTTTTAGTTGTTATCAAAATTCTGTGATTTGAAGAAGCTGTTATACGCGTAAAGACAAATATTTAATTATATTTTCTTACATATTTTCAGAGAGTACGTTAATGTAAAAGCATGCTTGAAAAAGCTGCAAGCTGATGCACCTTGCAACAAGACTAAAGAAGAACAAGTTTTATCAGACATACTGCTAGGCAGTTTTAATCCTTACTGTCAAAACGGTGTTGATCCTGTCCGCGGCGTTTCCATAATGAAATGTCCGTCGTACTTCCTTTTTGGTCTCCTCATCACAACCGCTTTGATAAAAATTGTTTACATTTAATGAAGAGGTTGATACAGCAACTCGTAGTCATGAAATTATACGAGAAATGTATGTCACCCTGAATGTAAGATTTTTGAGGAAATCAGACAACAGCAGATTTTGACATTTATCATAYATATGATAAATTAAGCTAAAGAGAATAGTGCTTTCAATACTAACAGTTTGTGAAGTTTCTATAAAAATGGCTATGTAYTTCACCTCAAGTAATTGGTAATAAAGTGATAGTTTTCCTTGAAGAATGAGAAAATGAAAAATAACCCATTTTTGGCCATTCATAACAAGTTAGCAGTGCTCATCCGTAAGTTTGCACTCACAACTCACGCTCAGTTCATGGACGGGAGGAAGTGGAAGTTATAGGGAATAGRGCTCTAAGAGGAACGACTTTGACAGTAGAGAGGTTTAGCATGACGTTCACGGCAAACGTCAAACGGCAGAAAAGGTCACGTGATCTGCTTTTTTGGAGTTTAAAGTTGCAGTTTCAACGCGAGAGCGGGTTATTTTGGGATTGCAATAATTGTGAAAATCGCTCTTTCAAATGACTACCAAAAGCACAAGGTCAGGCACGAAATTCTTAGGTCATTAGTTTAGCTCTGCCGTTAGCCGTTCCTGGATTACGCCGGAAATGTTTTTTTGTCTCGTTGTGGAAGATGCGGGGATAACGACCACTGAAGGCCGGATCATAGGTCCCGAAGAGCACTTTGGGAGACATGTAGGACTTTTTTTTTATGCAGTAAAAATATTACTCGACACCGRCAAAAGGTATAAAAGTATCTATATAGTGGCAGAAAAAAATCGAAAAGCCCCTTGCCCCAACCTCACTTCTGTTCCGCAGCCCATGCTATAAAATCGAATGGTCATATAAAAAAAACCTCTACATATTATTGGACAAACACTTTTTCCGCTCATTGTAAAAGCACTGAATCCAAAACATTAAGAAAACCAACTAAAAAACAACAACAACAACAACAAACAAACAAAAAAAGGAAAACAGCAAAAAGATCAATAACCAAACCAAACCGGACATAAACACACGTTGCTTCATTATTAATGTATGCAATGTTACTTACAAGTGTCTATTCATTCATTCATTCATTCATGTTCATTCAATCGAACTCATGGCTTTAATGGTTAGTTTTAGGGAAAATATCGGGTTAGGGAATGCATAGCGCTGGATCCAATGCTATACCTCTTCCTTAAAAAAATTCTCAGCTTAAGTCTTTGAAAATCTTCCACATAATYWGCTTTCTGTACGTACATTAGTGACCCAACAGATCTTTCTCGAGTAGACAAGTTCTCAAACCTTTTGTCTAGGATGACGTCATACTAACAACACAGAACCACGCCTCTTTATATTTTTGATAAGAAGTCTTCAGTAGAATTGATATACACCGTTTTATCGACATGAAAAAATCGTTAGGTTTTTGTTTCATTGGGACTTGTGAACGGATCTTACTACAAATCAACCAAGACTTAACAAGTATACTAAAGCTAAGCCCCCGGAGGGCTAAGCACATTAGATGATAAAACATGGCTTTTTGAAATTAAATTAAGAATTTTTCGTACAAGTAGCACTCTAAAATGAAAAATCATGAAAAATAGGATGTTCTCAACCGCAAAACAAGAATTGAAACAGTCAGCATAATTGACATCAACGGGAAATTTTTACTATCAAATAAATATAATTTACAATCTCATTTATTGATCATATATTAACAGACAATACCCAAATGTGTAAAATATCTGCAGAAATRCAGAAAGCAAGGCGAATAGGGCAATTCAGATTTCAGTTCCATAAGGAGGATCAAACATGGTACCGTCTGTGGCGGACCTCTGACGGGATAACTTGACTGGTGAATGAGGATTGGATTCGGAGAATGATATTGTTCTTTGRTTTCTTATTGAAACGCGCCCAAAGCTGTCACCAAAGTCTTCGTTAGTATAAGATACCTCAACAGCATCGCCGCTCACATTTAGAAGACATTGGCCCTATAAACACACCAATTTATGGATACAATGATGAGAACGGATACAGTAGTACACATTATCATATAACCCGTARCTTCCCGGCTTGAAGTTTTCATCAAAGGAATGGCTCAAAAACGCTGTCATATGATTAGTTAGGTCGGGCTGTTAGGTCGCTCATTTGTACGGACCTCGCTGCGCTCGTTCCGTACGGGCATAACCTCGAGCCAAATATTTTCCCGTACGGCCCTCCCACTCAGTCAACAAGTACATATTACTACTCCACACATCCCACGGCATAATATTCTGCTGTTCGCTCCTCACTCACAGAAATAATACTAATATCATTTGGTTTCCAATATGAACACTGACTACACAAACTACTATGGACGTATATACCTGATGTTTATGTGGGTTGTCTAGCAACACTATCTCATTTAATTGATATGAAACAAGAGCATTTCCACCAAGGGCCTGAACGTGTGCTCTGAGAATGGCTTGTGCCTCAGCCAAGAACACTTGCATGAATACATTTAAACCACCATCCTGGAACAACAAAGCAATACTTGGTATGGTAACGATTCCTGTCAGAATTGCTATATAGCTGTTGTCAAGCCAACAACATTTACATAAAACCTTTCATTACAATAATAAATTTCCTACCAATGTTTCCTTTTTCATAAACAGTTTTATGCAACTGACTTTTGTATTTTCCTTATTTTCCTGACTCAGTACCTGTACTGATCTTCAACATTCAGTGGCGGTTATCAGCAGAGAATATAAGGTGCAAATGCCGAAAACGATATGAGTCAAAACAAAAAGAAAGAAAAAGAAAAGAGTGACAATCGTGTAGTGAATTACTTTACCTCTCGAACTGACAGACTTTCTCGAATAAAGAAAAGATTGACGTTTCCAAGGTAACGTTCTATTTGTGCATTTGGCAGGTAAGACATAGGTGTAACCTCCACAGCTGGACAGTACGCCGACTGAAACAAGACGTCATASATGTTCATTTATAGTATTTGAGTTTTAAATATAGTGATGTTCACAGGAAACTCCTAGTACCTTAATACGTTGATAGCATTTTAAAATTGCAGCTAGGAAGTCATATTAAAAACTGAATAAAACTATTTGTCACTAGCCTAAGGTTTCAATGAAAAAACGAGTTTTTATACGTTGATAGCATGTTTCCATATATAATATGATATAAACGAAGTCATACGTCTTGTAACACTAGAGCAGATTTCGTATCACTSAGCAAAGCCACGGATCACGGCACGGACAAGATATGGCACGGTCACGGAACCTCGRCGGGTAGTGACGCCAAATGAAAAGAGTGATTCAAGAACATATCACCGTCACAGCAGGGCACAGTTACTGCTCGAAAATGCTGTGTTTTTTGCACAGTCATACAAAAGCCGCTCTATCACTTATGKACAGGAAGTGAGAAAAACTAGGGCCCAGACCACTAAAAATACGTTTATCTCCTACGAGATGTCGTATTTTTTGTCATAAAAATTACAAGATCATCAGATACTCCAAAGGTGTATATAATGTGCCTGTGGCCCCCTCAAGTCWTGAAGTGACTTTCGCTGTCCATATTTTTTTTTTTTTTGCGTTTTGACTGATACGCCGAATGACAATTTGGCATGAAAGAAGTCTCCCTCGATGTGAAATACTCGATACACTCAAGAGTGTTAGTATCATTAGATGGCTGTGTGTACATGAGTTGTTTCATAACATAGAGCACAGAGATTAACAAACCTTTGGATTGCGTCGTATTTTGTTTTCTAGAGTTATCTTTCCAGTTTCAGATATTGGTACTGCAATAATGAAAAAACATAAATTGTTCATTGTAAAGCAAGTATATTGTCGATCAGATGTCAAAACAAGCAGGKAAACAGCACTAAAAGATTTTCATCTAAAAAGATTTCAGCAGTATATAGCAGGAGTGGAAAAGACGGTCCAGTATTATACAGGCTTCTATATTCAAAAAATAAAGAACTCCTACTAAACAAACACTCCGACTGCGAAAGGTCTTTGTGGTCGAGCTTCCTCAACCTCAGCTTGCGCTAATCTTACTAATCACATAGTTTMTAGTTAGCTTCTACCGTACTTGGTGAGAAGTAATAATAGAGTGAAAATCAGAGCGATCCTTCTTTTTGGGCGTGTCCTTACAGACGCAATAAAAATTAAGTGAATATATTGGGATTTGTAAAGCATAATTTATCGCATGATGCTAGCTTTAACCTGGAGATATTTTACGAGCATCTTCTACTTCCTCAATAGGGAACAATAATTCTTCAGTACTCTCCTTTGTGCTTGCTAAAACAAAAGATCAAAAGTTAAAAACATGGTCAGTGTACAAACCGACATACTGAAAAAAAGATTTTGCCAGGATAACGAACAATGCAAAGCAAAAATTAACAATATATCACAAATCAAACAACCAGCATTTTGTAAAATTGGATACTAAACTGCTTTCTTGTTCCATTAGCTCATTTTGAGCCCGCTGATCTAGTTTAACGACTATGCCAGAAACTGCAAACTAAAAAGAAAAAGCGACGATTAGTATGAAGGAACATGGAAAAATATTAAATCCAAGCTCACCTGTATGTTATCATCTTCTGGTATTTCYACATCAAAACGAAGGTTTGACAAACAGCAAGGATTCAAGTGACGAAGTTTAAACCAGAAACTCTATGAAATTAAATATTCATATAAAAGGGTTGGAAAGCAAATTTTGATATGAAAATCAAAGAATTTGAGGAAAGAGTCATGATTTAATTGTTCAGGAAGCAAAGAGGATTCTGATTGTGTATGCAATGTAAAATGTTTTGGGCATGAAAAATACAGAAGCCGTGCATCAACATTATTTTTATGGTCATATCATGCTAATCGATTTAAAAAAGCATCTACATATACCTTCATTGTGTCATCAAACATCTTTGCGAACTGTTGATTTGTTCTGATATCTTCATCGCTCAGTGCGTGTCTCTGCATTGCGGTTATCATCTACAAAGGAATAAATGAGGAAAATGCGGAGATAAATACATCAGCGTTCTTCCGTTTAAGGCAAAGAAAGACAACTATCGTTTGATTGTGAGAATGAGTATCATTCATAGCRGTACTAGTATGAGACATTTGTCATATACTACTCCTGTCTTTTTTCCATTTTACTTGTTTTGTACAATTTGTCCAACTGTCCTTCTGAAACAGTTGTGTAAAAAGATATAAAGTTGAAATAAACTGACGTTTCGGACGTTAATCCTTAGTCGGAGTAAAGAGGTGGAACTGGGTAAAGTGTGAGTTTATATAATAAGAGTTGCAAAGAAAGTAGACCAATAGAACAAGGCAAGCATGGTAACGAGAACAATTACAGTCAAAAGACATGAAGCGCCCCCCCCCCCCCCCCCCCCCCCCCCCCGAATAGTTCGTTATTCAATGAATTATTGGATTTTTCATTTTATTTTCGTTTTGAAACTTCAGTTGATTAATGCAAAATTAAATTCGAATCTCGAACTCTGATAATGACAGAAAACAACACAGGATTTCCAGCTTTTTGAGACCGTCATTCCTTTCTCACGAGAAGGAACAGATCCAACCAAATAGCCGACTTGCGAGTTTTGACTCAGTAGTCACACACAAAGGAATCAAGACAAGGCGCCGTGCATAAAGCTCAGTCATTCGTGAAAAGACAAAAGTTTCTCACAATTGACTGAGCTTTACGCACGGCGCCTCGTCTTGATTCTTTTGTATTTGACAACTGGAGCGAAATTCGCAAATTGGCTATTAACAGACAGCATATTGCAATGCATCGACTTGTGGAAAATACAAAAGACCAGCATGTTTACAAGCGAAATACGAAGAAGGCTTTATGAAAATCCGATTATTATCATTATTAGTAATCATTATTAGTAGGAAGAACACCTTTTACTACGAAAGAACGCCGTTACGATCAACTTTATTAGAAAAAGGGGTCGGTCGTTAAAGATGTGAGAAGTGTTAGTTTCAGAAGTGAGTAAAAAGTAATTACGATTAATAATAAGCTTAATAAAACTGTTAATAGGATGATACGTAAGAGTGAAAGGAATACGCCTATTAAGCGCACGAACATTAGGTGTGAGTGAGAGCATTGTTACGATTAGCCTGCGTAGCAGCTCTTGGGGATGGGGGAGGGGGAAAACGATCAATGCGAGATACTTTAGGTTGAGCTTGATCAATAACATGAGGTTAGTTACGATTAAGAAAAAAAGAACGCATCTCCATGCATTTGTTAGAGAAGTCATAATCTACACTACACAAGCGACAGAGACGTAGAAATTGAGAGAAGGGCATTCAGAGTATGCTTAGGGTGAGAAGACGAATAGAGAAGATAAGAGTGAGAATCAGTAGGCTTAAATGCACAGTAGTGCTAAGATGAGTGACCGACGTATCACTGATTTCCGAAGTGAATTGTCCTTCTACCTATTTGTCATGAATGTCCTTCTGACTGTCTCCGCTTGGACATCTGCTGTTATAAGTTCTAATTGGATCGTCTTAGTCACTTAACAATAAACTCAAGAGGTCGTGTACACCATAGTTAATAGATAACTATTATATATTAACTATGTGTACACTAAGAATCCATGATGCCGTACGTTTTTATAATCCACCATACTACAAGTTTAATATCAGAACTAAAGTTTCTTTTTCGACTTTTGAAGCTTTTCTTGGTGCAACAAGGGTCTAACGCGAATAGATCATAATTCACACTAGTTTACCGCTAGTTKCCACCATAATTCAAAAGCCAACCAGATATTTTATAGTCCATAGTAGGTGGATACTATACTATAGATTTAAACCCGTACATTCCTAATCTTACCTTGACACCAGATTTGACTCGGGAAAACCCAGGTAGAGTTTCAGTATTACAGCAATAGAAACCTTCAAACAAATTTTCTAAATAAGTGATACTTGAGTAAAAACACACTTTATGTGCATGGGATAGTGGTACTCCAACAAAGCGATAGAGTATAGCTACGTTTCTTCATTACGAAGTTGAAAAATGTGAAACACTGAGAATACCTTCTGGTGTTGGAGGATCTAGCAGTACAGTAACGACGTCCTCATCTTTCTTATCGTCAACCTTTTTTCAAAAAGAAAAACAATACACTGAACTCAAGAACTGGTAAAGATGAAACAACTAACGGTCAGTAAAACATAGCCTCCTTCTCAGACCAATCGAGTTACAATTAAAATCAAAATTGCATTGTTTAATGACACAGCTTTAGAGTCTTTTTACCTTGACTTACCTATTTTGTACTAGTACAGTCAACTCTCGCTATTACGGACACCCTCGGGACCGTAYTTTAGTGTCCGAAGTAGCGAGAGTCCGTAGTAACGGAAGTTACTTTCAGTCATTTCTTTTAGTCGTATTTTTCACCTTGCATTCAGTATTTCCTGTCCGTAATATCGACGRTACCGAAATAGCGAGGTGTCCGTAATGCGAGAGTTGACTGTAGATAGTGGGCAGAAAATATTGAGCTTGATGACTAATATGAATTATTATTGAAAAAAACGAAAGTGAAAACTATACATTGATATGACATTGACGTCATATGACGTTACAGTGACAATTTGGTATGCAAGAACCCCCCACCCCTACTGAAAATCCTGGATACGCCCATGGACATACCAACGAACCTCGGATTTGTATTACCGATGCTCTACTAGCCGAGCTACAACGTCAGACTGGGTGCAGGTCGGTGTAAGTGTAAATTGCGGTAATATTCATATTCATAGCTTTTTCGTTTGCCTATTCTTTCACAGGAACACAAATTTAGTACAAACTGGGTTATATTGCAGAACAGTTCAAACAAAAAATGAAGCCATTGTTTCTTATCATGGATTACGCATATGTCATTCTTTTCAAAATAGTGAACCGCAAATAAGTCACGCCACATTAATGATATCAATACATCACCATGTCCATTCAAAAGGAGACTAGGATCATAGTTAGAAGAMGGAAATTCAATGTCAAGAGCTTCGTACACGTACATTACTGTATGATTTTGGACAGCAACTTGAATCTGATTACCTACCTCGACAACAAAAGCATCCTTTCCACCATTGGTAAAATCAAGAGCAGAGTGAGGGAGGTCCTCATGGGTATACATATTATTGGGGCTTGGTTGTGAAGGACTTGGTGGGGGTGTATACAGAGCTTCTTGGGTCTGGTAACAAGTTGACACAACACATAAAAATTTACCCATGGCAAATTAAAATAAACAAATAAATACATTATTAAAATAAACAAATAATTGATTGTCACTAGCACTTTATTACTCTCACTACAGTCACAATTTCTTATGCAGCTTTGTTTCACTTACCAATGAAGAAGAAATCCTAAATCGCACTTTATTCTTGTTAGTAGTTTCTATGATTTGTTTCTGTATTTCAGTCAGACGTTTGTCTTCATCTGAAGTAGAACGCTAAAACAAACATAATAGCAAYTGTGGTGATAATACAATAAAACATCACTGATTCTATGTAATTCTATGCATTAAATGTTTTGTTGGGTCGTTTCTTTTGTTAAATGACTGCTGTCAATGTGAAGTATTTTCAAGATTACCTTTCCAGAGATCTTAAGTAATGGTGGTGGTGGGAGAGCAGACAGGTACACTGCTGTGGATGACTAAATATAAAATTAATCAAAATTAAACTGTGATTCATTAATCTCTTAGTGACTGACTTTATTTAAACTTATAAAACTTAT